CTAATCCTTATTTCGGCCTTCGAGAAAGCAATGAACACTTCTGTGGTCGAACGAAAGCTTGCGACCCTTTCGAGGAGGTTAGAGCTTTTTTTGTATCTTGCGCGTCCTGAAATCGTGTGCCGAACAAAAATTCTAGAACTGAAGGAAATGCAAAAAATATTGTAATCGCAAAAAAAAAAAAAAAAAAAATTGTATTTATAACTTTAAACGCGAAAATGTAAAGTGGTCTTTCCTGCAACCTTATTGATGTTGCAGGAAAGATACATATGCAGGGCATAATCTGGAGATCTAATTAATTACCTCGCTGGGAACTCAGAGATTTAAGTTATGCGTTATCTATTTCACATTTTTTTTAGCAGACACTTTTACTACATATACCTCAAGGAACTTTTAGAAATTAAGTATTTTTCGAGTATAAATTAACAATAATTAGTCATCAAAACTGAGATTTCCACATGGTTCAATGGGAGAAAGTACGTGTTTAACTAGGAACCTAGATAAACAATTCTATGGAGCTAACATTTCTCCTGGCTATATCATTTCCATTGATCTTATTAGCTACAACGAACTTTTCTTTATTGAATTTGGATCAGGTTGATTTTATTGTTATTTGGACGATTGCCCGCATATGCCGAAAGATGGCGAAGGTGCTTCGTGTCCCAAAATGCTAGGAATAGGGCGGAAGACGGAACAACGCCACCAGAAAACACACGTAAACACACGAACCGGGTGACGCGCGCGCTGGCGTGGACGACGAAGCGACGATTTCTGAGTCCCCAAAAGTGTTTCGAGCAACTCTCGAGAGGGCGCGTCACGATCGTGGCCACTCTGACGCTTCTTGAAGGTCATAAATATCACATCAAAATGTGTTTTTTGGAGAAGTGATCACATATAAAGCAACATTTCTGATATTTTATTAAATCCTGAAGAGTACCGTCGAATCTCATTCAATTACTTTTTCAACGTATTTGTACTCTACTCATGATAGCTCGTACTAAAAGTAACTTGAATACTACTTAAGATACATTTTCAAATGGGTATGTAGTATCTTTTTTTACATTCTTTTGTTGAACATTTGGCACAACACTGTATCACATGCCGAGTCGGGTTAAAACTTGTAGGGGTGTGCGAATACTCGAATATACGAATTCGAATCGAATAGAAAGTTCCCGAATAATTCGATTCGCGAATCGAATTCTTAGTATTCGGTTACTCGAATATTCGATATATTCGGCCGAAGACGCGCGGTGGGCGCGGAGCAAACGAAAAAGCAGTTTTTTTCCCGATGTAAGCGCCGTGATGTTAGACAGACCATGCGAGAAGCACCTCTTGGTCCTACCATCCCACAAAAATCTAACGCACAGGTTAGAAAACAGAAAAGTAACGAACGCCACAAACTTTATAGCACGAAGATTTACTCACGATCATGACACAATCTACCCTTGAATCACAACTGAAACATCCCGCTTGCGCCGCTTCCAGAGAGGAATGGACCTTTTCCGAGAAGCGTTCTGCGCACGCGCGAGCGCCCTATGCCAAGCGGCGGAAGTCGGAACGAAAAATTGAGGAAATTCGGAATGAGCCTGTGGATAAGCGAGTAGAACAGGTAATTGCAGCATATATTTAATTGGGTTACACAAAAAAAGAAAGTGGACGGAAGAAAAAACACAACGACGCAGCTCGGAGAGCGAAGAAACTGGTAGCGTAGCTCCCGGTATCGATTGGTAGCGCAGGTAGGTCACTTCCTCGATTTTTAGTTCGTGCAGCCACCGCCTGGTGACGTCGGTATGTGGAAAAGATCCATTGTTGGGAAGCCGGAATTCCGCGCCAAGCCTAATTCTTTTCACGAGTAAAACTCCTCGTTTCAAATTGAAGCGCCGATATAAAACACACTTGCCGCACTCGCAGAAATCGGCTACTGCGCCACTGCACGATCACAGAAAGAAAACCAACGTTACCACGCCGGCGAAACCAACCGAGTTATCGTCGTCGTTCTTTTGGAACCGCGAATTCTGATTCCGAATCAGAACGACAACTCGGTTGGTTTCGCCGACGTGGTAACGTTGGTTTTCTTTCTGTGATCGTGCAGTGGTACAGTAGCCGATTTCTGCGAGTGCGGCCAAGTGTGTTTTACTTAGGGGCTTTACTCGTGAAAAGAATTAGGCTTGGCGCAGAAGAAACGGAACGGAAAAATAGTGTGCCTAGATTTGAGAGGGTTTCCAACAGCTCGATAGCCGCGTTTGAATTACGAACTGCGAGAAGGTGCCGAAAAGGCGAAAGCGTCGGTCGGGTTCGGGCAGACAGGGCAGGCGTCGTCGCTCTTCTGTTTGTTCGCCTTCTTTCCACGCGACAACACAACACATGCGCATTCACGATCAATCTGCGATGGAGCCGTCTCTGTGGTTTCAGTTTCGGTTGCTCCATCTTTTAAATCAAGGCTCTCTAAAACAAGATAGATAAACGGAAAAATGATGCGTAGCGGCAGTTGGATGGTGACTTGCGCCACCTAACCACGTGTTTTTTTTTCTTACTTTAGATTATATTGTTTAAGCCAGTTTACCTCGTTGCTGTTTAGTCAGATTTAACACCTGTCTATTCATTTATGTGAAATCAAATCCCAGGTGCCATTTTTTCCCCTTAAAATGGAGACACACTATCGCAAAATGCCCCTTTTCTGAGATATACAAATATTAAAAAAAAAGTTGCGATGTTAGGTTGTGTTTTTAAAGAGAAAAAAAGGCACGCGTGGCTGTAACTTTTTTTTGTGACGTTTAGGGTAGATAGATTATGTTTGCACCATAAAATTGTATCTTTAGTGCCCAACGTTCAACAGCAACTGCTTTTTTTTTTTTCACCGGAACTTTTTTAGATTTTGGCTTTTGTTTTGTACAAGACGTATATTCTGCACTAGGCGCATACTCTGCACATATAATAATCGCATTCGCACCAAACTTTGAAAAATTCCTACGAATAAAATCACTATTCGATATTCGATTCGATATTCGGTTTTTTTTTCTTGATTCGATTCGGTATTCGATTCGAAAGCTACTATTCGGTATTCGCACACCCCTAGTTAAAAGACAAATGTCCCGTCAGTGCATGAATCGGGTTGTACGAGCACATGACGACGTAAGCATCCCGTACGTCAAGGGAGTTTCGGAGGCGTTGGGACGCGCGTTAAGGCCGTTATGTGTACGAACTGTGCACCGACCCTACAGGACAATTAATTATTTTCATTTGTTGATTTATTGACCACCGTTAACTCGAAACTCAAGGACCCGACCCGTTCAGGGATAAAAACGGGGGTGATTTACCAATTACATTGCAAATAACGTGACGCGTCCTACGTCACACAGACGGGGCGAAAACAAAAACGACTAAAATAACATGCACAGGACATCGCCAAGGCCACAAATGCAACTCGCTTCAAGTCCGAACTTGTCGACCACGCATGGATTACAAGTCACAACTTTGACCTTGAGAATGCGTCGATTCTGGCGAAGGAGAAAAAGTGGGAGTGGCTCATCGCTGGAGAACAAAAACCCTGGACCCCTGCCAAACGTGTGCAAAAACTTCACGCGTGAATAGTTTACCTTTGGAGCGCGCTTCTCATTTCGCTATTTGCCTTATTGAAGATGCCTCCCGCACGAGGAGTGAAAGGCTTAATTAAGCTGTTATTCCTGTTATGCCCAGACGTTGTCGTTATTACTTTTATCGTGTCTTGGCCCGGCTTCTATAGTATATTTGCTCCCCCCCCCCCCCCCCCCCCCCCCCCTCCATGTTTACGACGCTACGCGGCGGCAGTCCGCGGATGGCTCATTACAAAAATAATAACCCACCTGGCACACCCGTACACTCCGCTTTGCGGCGCCCGCCGGCGGCCCAAGACACCCTGTCCCCAATTGCACCTCCGAAAAAGTGCGACCCGTGATTAACTACGCGCCCCACGTGTTCTGGTGTCATAGGTCGCTGTTGGTCACTGCGTCCCCCTCCCGTATAGTCATAGTATGGCACACGTATTTGGATCGGCTTCGATGGCTCGTGCGCCCTCCGTGGTAGGGCAAAACAGAGTATATACATGACTTGCACTGACGTCATATCAGTGGCGACTCTGGCGGCTAGCGTGGTTCGTTGTTACAGAAGACAAGGCCTACGCACCACGTTATCGCTAGTAGATCCCTGAAGCGCCTCGAGTGGGCAAACACGCTGAACCTCGGTCGAGGGACGCCGGAAAGCAGCAGACATCCGTCTTGGTGTCACCGCCTGCTGTAGCGTCGCGCTCGTGGTCTGAGACGCTGCGAGGTGTACTAAAGCCTTTTAATCAAAGCCGTTTTTTTAACCGTTCAGTTGAACGGTAAAATGTTTTGACCTAGACAATTACGCTTTCTTTTTACACCGGAAGAATAGCAGTGTTATAATGATCGTTATAATTTATAAAGGTTATTTTCCTCTGGAGTGGGGAATTATTAATAAGACGCTTTATTATCTCCACTTCTTCCATTTCTATTGCTGCTCATACTAACTGATGACTTGTGGTGTTAATGTGGCCAATAAAAAACGGGAACACCATGGCTTACATTTTATGGAGCCCAGGATCATGGGGTGCATTGTCGAACGTACGTTCCTTCAAGGAAGTATCATCGTCCTTGAAGAGATGTATTCCATTTCAAGCACGAAGCCGTCCTTGAAGTAACGACCTGCCTCCATGTCACATGAAACTGAAAAAAGACCCTCTCCTTCTTTTTTGCAATGAGCACAACCGTGGGCTTGCCAGTTTTCCAACCTACGTTTTGAGAAATGAAGCTATTCTCCGAGGATAGAATGAACAGACATGTAAACTGATAAATACAAAAAAAAGTCGCCATGAAGAATAGTTATATTTCTTTCCAAGAAGTACCTTTCATGCGTAAACGAATGGAAGGGAGGGGGGATGGAGAGAGAGAGGGAGACTTGGGGTGTGGGTATATTTATACAGCCAGAAATTAGTCTGCCTCAACTGGCGACTTGTCTCCCAGCTGTAGATTAAAATTTAGCCAGTGCAGTACAACCGCTAGCCAGGAATCTTTAACGTGCACCACGCAGTAGTGATACACGACCGCACGCCGGTACGATGCTCCTCCAGATCGAAATGGGCAGGAGTGGGGATTGAATCCAGGATCGCTGGGATCTGCAGCGCGAACTTCCGCTCCACGTACTCTGAGCTGGTGTGCGCTAACCCATCGGCCACCGATCCTTTTTTTTTTGTCTTTATTATATGGAAAGTTACGTTCAAAATTCAGGTTACAAGGTTACTAGTTTACAAGGTTAATAGATGATTATGTGCATAGTGATGAATATGATGTGAAAAGTTGAATGGAATGTCTACCTAAACCGCAGTCCTCTAGCACTCTTTCACTCCCGGCACATCTTAGACACTAGCAAACGCAACATTTCTTGATAATTTTCAGATATTAAAAATCTGAAAGTCTTAAACCAGCATCAAAAACTGGAAACTGTTCAGGTACTGGTGGGTGAGCTTCGTAAACACTTCTTACTTTCAAAATTTGTTCTAGAAAAGTGTATTATGTGGTGCGTGGTGTGTCGGCGTTCTTGTCAATTAACCGGCATCTTCAGAGCCTGTGGAGGCCTACCAGCATAAATAAATCACAGGGAATGTTTGTCTTGCTAGGTATGTGTAAAGTCTATATCCTTTTTAAGACTTCGTTAGAGGGTATCCCAGAAGAAAATGGCATCTGTACTGTAGACGAAGCGGTGTTCTATTGTTCTCTGTTGGTGGCATACTCGACAGTCAATAGACCAAGGTACAAAACAAAACGCGTTCTTGGAGCCACGATTTTACTAGAAGCGTTGTTGTGTGTAACTTAAAGAACAATGTTTCAGCTCTAGGAGATATGCACATTCACTTTATTCGTTTAAAAACATCTTGTCCTTCACAGTCACTAAACCCTGTCCTATATAGCGGAATAGTAAAGAGAATTTTAATCAAAACTAGTGATAGCCATTTTTCTTATACTTCAAATAGATATTATAATGAGAAGCAGACTTTTAGAAACGAAAAAAAAAATATATCGACTGGGCATGGAAGCTTTGCAGCGATGAGGTGGCTTATGTTTTTCGTCTTGCCGCAGCTCCTGTCCGTGTCAGCGCGTGCGTCCCCATCCAGCCGGCGACACGATGACGGCGCAGCTTTGCTCCGGTTTACGGACCGCGAGCTACCATCCGCCACGCGCTCGTCGACCACAGTGTTGCCCGCTGGGATCAACATCACAGAGGACCTCGCTCGTGCTATGCCATCAGCAGCGACATCAACGGAAGCGCCTACAAAGGGACCCCCCCGGCTACAGCGCGCCAGTGGGCATGGAAGCTTTGCAGCGATGAGGTGGCTTATGTTTTTCGTCTTGCCGCAGCTCCTGTCCGTGTCAGCGCGTGCGTCCCCATCCAGCCGGCGACACGATGACGGCGCAGCTTTGCTCCGGTTTACGGACCGCGAGCTACCATCCGCCACGCGCTCGTCGACCACAGTGTTGCCCGCTGGGATCAACATCACAGAGGACCTCGCTCGTGCTATGCCATCAGCAGCGACATCAACGGAAGCGCCTACAAAGGGACCCCCCCGGCTACAGCGCGCCAGTGGGCATGGAAGCTTTGCAGCGATGAGGTGGCTTATGTTTTTCGTCTTGCCGCAGCTCCTGTCCGTGTCAGCGCGTGCGTCCCCATCCAGCCGGCGACACGATGACGGCGCAGCTTTGCTCCGGTTTACGGACCGCGAGCTACCATCCGCCACGCGCTCGTCGACCACAGTGTTGCCCGCTGGGATCAACATCACAGAGGACCTCGCTCGTGCTATGCCATCAGCAGCGACATCAACGGAAGCGCCTACAAAGGGACCCCCCCGGCTACAGCGCGCCAGTGGGCATGGAAGCTTTGCAGCGATGAGGTGGCTTATGTTTTTCGTCTTGCCGCAGCTCCTGTCCGTGTCAGCGCGTGCGTCCCCATCCAGCCGGCGACACGATGACGGCGCAGCTTTGCTCCGGTTTACGGACCGCGAGCTACCATCCGCCACGCGCTCGTCGACCACAGTGTTGCCCGCTGGGATCAACATCACAGAGGACCTCGCTCGTGCTATGCCATCAGCAGCGACATCAACGGAAGCGCCTACAAAGGGACCCCCCCGGCTACAGCGCGCCAGTGGGCATGGAAGCTTTGCAGCGATGAGGTGGCTTATGTTTTTCGTCTTGCCGCAGCTCCTGTCCGTGTCAGCGCGTGCGTCCCCATCCAGCCGGCGACACGATGACGGCGCAGCTTTGCTCCGGTTTACGGACCGCGAGCTACCATCCGCCACGCGCTCGTCGACCACAGTGTTGCCCGCTGGGATCAACATCACAGAGGACCTCGCTCGTGCTATGCCATCAGCAGCGACATCAACGGAAGCGCCTACAAAGGGACCCCCCCGGCTACAGCGCGCCAGTGGGCATGGAAGCTTTGCAGCGATGAGGTGGCTTATGTTTTTCGTCTTGCCGCAGCTCCTGTCCGTGTCAGCGCGTGCGTCCCCATCCAGCCGGCGACACGATGACGGCGCAGCTTTGCTCCGGTTTACGGACCGCGAGCTACCATCCGCCACGCGCTCGTCGACCACAGTGTTGCCCGCTGGGATCAACATCACAGAGGACCTCGCTCGTGCTATGCCATCAGCAGCTACATCAACGGAAGCGCCTACAAAGGGACCCCCCCGGCTACAGCGCGCCAGTGGGCATGGAAGCTTTGCAGCGATGAGGTGGCTTATGTTTTTCGTCTTGCCGCAGGTTAGTAGTCGTAAACCTTGCCACTGTTTTAGGTCGAATTACGTTTGCCTAGTTGTGCTTCCATGCCCCGGAGCTTTTATTGAATCTTTTAGAGCGTGTATTGAATCCTTCAGAGCTTTGTTGCTTTTATTGTCTGGGGATGTAGAGAAGAACCCAGGCCCTATGAGCAAGCAACAAGAGGATGAATTCCTTGCGCTTGTGCAGACGGTCGCGAAACTTCAGAGTAGTCTTGCTCTTCTGCAACAAGAGGTAAACCTACTAACACAGAAAAATATAGAAAGCGAAAAATCTGCTTCCGCTCTAGAAGAACGCGTTAAAAACCTAACAACTGAACTCGACTTACTAAAGCAGAAGGAAATCGGTAACGTCACACCTACCGAACTTCAGCTTACTACAGCTCTAAACGAACTTTCGCAGCTGAAAACCCGTTGTGACGACGCGGAGGGCAGATCCCGTCGTAACAACCTCCTATTTTTTGGCGTCACTGACACCGATAAGGAAACGTGGGCCCAGTCCGAGGGCTTGGTAACCGGCCTGTGTTCCAGTAACCTAGGCGTGAATATCGAAGCAAGCAAAATTGAAAGAGCGCACCGCTTGGGAGCGTTCAATCCACGAAAATGTCGCCCTATAATCGTGAAGGTTTCATCATTTAAGGATAAAGAGGGCATTCTTTTGTCGGCATTTAAGCTCAAAGGGACACGTGTAGCCATCAGTGAAGATTTTCCCATTTCTGTCCGACTTGCGCGCCGTCACCTTCTTGATTTTGCCAAGCCTAAAGGCACGACTTACAAGCTGCGTCACGATAAGCTGTTTTTAGATAATAAGTGTTATGTATATGACGCCGCTCTTGGTGCCGTGAAGGGAAAAAGTGCAAAGCAATGCCAGCGTTCATTTCGTTTTTCGTCACCCAATCAACCTGCAAAACGCCGTGATATCTGTAACAAACCTTCTTGTCATTCTATTTTATTTACTAATATTAGAAGCTTGATACCAAAAAGAGATGATGTGATTTCCTTGGTTGAGGCATGCAACGCAGATTTCCTTGTGCTTACCGAGACGTGGCTAAGCCCCGATATATCCGATACTAAACTTTTTCCTTTGTGTCCAAACTTTCGTGTGTATAGGTGTGATAGATCCGCTAGGAGGGGGGGGTGGTGTGCTTTTAGCTATAAAAAATCAAATTCCGTCCCGGGTTATACCGATTCTTACTGACTTAGAAGTTGTATTTGTGTACGTCGCTACGACGCCCCCCGTAATAGTGGCTGTGTGCTATAGACCGCCAGATAGTGATAAAGAATTTGTTAACAAGCTATATAAGTGTATTTCTGAAATCACCACTAAATACCCTAACGCCTTTGTTACTCTCTTTGGTGATTTCAATTACCCAAACGTTGACTGGTCTGCCCTCTCTTCTAGTTGCGCATTGTCTCAAGAATTTATAGACTTTTGTTTAGATTTCAACTTTACAAATGTTATCACTCAGCCTACTAGGATTACTAATCACTGTAGCAATATACTCGACTTGTGCTTAAGCCAAGACCCCTCACTCTTCAGTAACATCACATACTTACCCGGCATTAGTGACCATCTCGTCATCGATTTAACTCTCTCTCTCTCTGTTCCTCATAGATCACATTACTGCAAATTCATTCGCAATTACGCGAGAGCTGATTACGCATCAATCAACTCGAACCTCGAAGATTTTTATCATACCTTCTCAGTTAACTTCTGGGAAAGAACGGTTAATGAAAACTGGACTCTATTCAAAGATAAAATGATCTACCTAATCGAACGCTTTATTCCACTGACCCGTATTATATCTGACAACACTAACCCTTGGTACAATAAAACAATTCATAGTCAATCCAATAGAAAAAAAAGACTCTATAAGCGGACTAAGGCTGTCAACACTACGGCTTCTTGGAACGCCTACTACGAATGCGCTAGGGCTTATAAATCAGCAATAAATCACGCCAAAACCAAATTCTATAGTATCGACCTCCCCAACATACTAACCACGAAACCAAAGAAGTTTTGGAAAATAATCAATCCGGCTCTTTCACTTCCTTTGCAATTTGTAGATGACGACGGACTTCCGCTTTCTGATAAACACGGCGCTCTTGCTAATAATAATTTCTTCTGCTCCATCTTTACTAACGAGGACTTACTAAATATTCCCGACTCGTGCCAATCCACCCACCCTCTCATGGATCCTATCGTAATTGACCGTACTGGAGTACTTAAGGCTATAGATCAACTAAAGGTGTCCTCCAGCTCCGGAGATGACCAAATTAACTCTAAGGTATTAATAAACACTAAACACATTTCTTCCACTTTCCTCTGCGACATATTCTCTCAATCTCTTAAACTCTCTGAAGTACCATCAGATTGGAAAGTTGCTAACGTCATACCCGTTCATAAAACAGGCGATCGCCAACTAATCAGCAACTATCGTCCCATCTCGCTCACCAGCGTTTCATGCAAACTCTTGGAGCACATTCTCTATTCTAACATAATAAATTTCCTAGACTCTCATAACCTCCTTTTCAAGCACCAGCACGGATTTCGCAAGTCCTACTCATGCGAAACTCAGCTAACAGCATTTCTAACTGACGTTTACTCAAATTTCGATTCCAATGTTCAAACTGACGCCATCTTTATTGACTTCTCCAAAGCATTTGACAGGGTCCCTCATCAACGTCTTTTAATGAAACTAAGAAATATTAATCTTCACCCCTCAGTAGTCAATTGGATTTCTGAATTCCTTACTAATCGCACACAGTACACTTCTATTAACAATATAAAATGTACCACAAGCGCAGTAACGTCTGGCGTCCCTCAGGGAAGCGTTCTTGGCCCCCTTCTTTTTTTAATCTACATTAATGATCTCCACCATGGCATCACTTCTGAAGTACGTTTGTTCGCCGATGACTGTGTCATATATAGACCCATTCATTCACGCCACGATCAGCTAACCTTGCAAAACGATCTCCAACTTATAATTCAGTGGTGTCATAAATGGCAAATGGCTTTAAACTATAATAAATGTAAATCGCTATCTTTTTCCCGCAGTTCACATGTTCTATCCTCCTCTTACCACTTTTCTGGCATCCCAGTAACTGCTTGTTCATCGTATAAATATCCAGGAATTCATCTGACATCTGACCTGTCGTGGACCACTCATTTAACAACTGTCATCGCCGATGCTAACCGCACTCTCGGATTTCTTCGCCGTAACCTCAGACAAGCTACATCCCCCGTAAAACAACTAGCTTATACTACCTTGGTCTGAACTAAACTAGAATTCGCTTCTTCCATATGGTCACCGTGGCAGGCATACCTAACTAACAACCTGGAATCCGTTCAAAGCAGGGCCCTCCGTTTTATTTATTCCGACTATTCCCCATACGCAAGCATATCAGGACTTCGCCAATCAGCTAACCTTGACACTCTTTCTCACCGCCGCAGGGTGTCTCGTCTTTCTCTTCTTCATCGGATCTTTTATTACAACAGTCATCTCAGACAAAGTTTGTTATCACCTCCTTACCGCATTTTCCCTCGTCTCGACCATTCTTGTAAACTCCGTCCGATTTCATCGTCAACCGTCACTCACCGAATGTCTACTTTACCAATGGCCATTGACGACTGGAACTCACTGCCTGACGTAATTGTTACCTTATCTGATACTAAAAGATTTTCTGCAGCCATTAGCTTATTTTTTCTAACCCATAACTAGATTACAGCGTGTTTTCGTAGATAAATAATTTTGTTACTTGTTTGTTTTTTAAGTGTTCACTCCCTTGTGTAATGCCCCCTGGGCCTTCAAGGAATAATAAATGATGATGATGATGACATGTTTCCAAAGGCCCCAGAGTTTGCCTGGGGTAGATTTCGTTGTTGAGACGACCAAGAATGGCAAGTGATGTGCCAGCTTTCTTTGAACGATGGTAAGCAGAAAAGGGTGAGGTAAGTTTTAAAAAAAAGATAGTGGCGGAACGAGTTGACGGACGAATAAATATGCCAGACCTAAGCCACCAGCTTCCAACGGAATGAATAAGTTATCGCGTTTCATCTGTACCCAAGCAAAAGTTCTATGGAACACTCTAATAAAAAGGGTGCAGCGGTCATCACGCCAGCTCTTGAAATGCGAGAAAGAAGAGGACGACAGGAGAAGAAAGCTCGCGAGCACGTTTGAGCGGTTAGGTTTAGAAGGCCGTGACAGGTGATCTGTACTTGATGTGTAAATAATGTATATGTATACTGATTGCTGTAAGGGTATAGCCATTATGCCCCGTGTCCCATATATGACACCCCAAAACTTAAGTTCTACGTACAGCGCACTGACGTCTTACTGACGGCCCCAACTTTTACGAGAGGCTTGATGCCGGTGGGATATTACATATTAAACAGCTAAAGTACGTATCAAAGTCAACTCGAAAAAAACACAGAGGTTTTGCAGTAGGGTCAAGAAAACACAGATTACGTTATTTGCAGTCAGCCACACATACATTACATATTTTAAGAAGTTTCACAACTCGGCAATCAAGCTGCTGGTTAAAGTTGGTACCGTCGATTCAACGTCAGTTCGCTGTACGTCGAACTGAAGTTTCGGAGTGTATTACATGTGACAACGGGTGTAAGAATATGCCCTTTTTTTTCTGTGTGAGGGCGTGTACCTTTGGACGGCCACAATGTAATGCTTGTAAGACAAGCAGTTGTTTAGATATTAAAGGAAACAAAAAAAAAAAAAAAATGTTGCACACTGCTGCTTTTGCGAGGATTGAAAGATATCGTCTCTTACATGATAACGTTTTTAATTAATCTCAGTTACAATGGAATTCCCATATAGATTATAGGAACCGTGCGCATCTAATTCAAGCCCCGACCAGGGCGCCCCTAGCGGCAAACGGGTCCCTTGCATCGGGGAGCTTGTGCCAGCCGCTGCGTTGGTTGTGCGTTGTAGTGGGTTAGCGCTGTAATTTCTGAGATGGCTATTCCGCACCAAGAAAGCCGTAACAATTGCTGCGTGGTCGGCTGCAACAGTACGTCGAAGATCGCGAACGGCACGAAGTACTACATCGTTCCTTCGGAGCCGTACGAGGCGGAGTACTGCGCGGCCTGGGTGCGACTTGTGCGTCCATACAGGTTAGTGGCGTTTCTTACCTTCCAGTTCGCGCTTTGTTTAAGCTGCTCACGAATAATACAATTAACTTTTTTTCTATTCTAGCGACGATGCGACAGCATCGACACCGACGGCAAACTCTAAAGTATGCGGCAAATCACCGGAATCGAGAAGCGGAATGCGGTCGCCACTCTAAGCCTACCCTGGATGTTTCCATCAGCCTACAGGAAGATAGTAGTGGGAATCGCGGAACGGCGCTAAAAAAAATCGCCCAGTTATTGTCAAGCTGATTCAGAAATAAACGTGCATAATTACCACAGTCCACTCAACGCCAACTGCATTTTTTTGCGGGCGCGCTTAATTTTGTTAGCGGAGTACGGCGCGCCGTGACATCCACTTGTCCGTCGAAACGGACCTCCTTCACGTCGTACACGCGGCCAGATTCACGAACGAGTTTTCCCTTCTTCATATTGGTACCACGGAAAAAGCTTTCTGGATTCGTAACCGCCTTAAACCCCGTCGTAATCACCCCGGGAACACTGTCCGCTGTGCTGCTCATCACCATTGCTTCCCCCCGATGATTCTGCACCGGCTGCCGAAGAAGCTTTCCGGATTCGTAATCGCCCACTGTCCTCTGTGGCGTTAGGTGCTATTACTTCCCAATGATTCTGCGCCGACGGCACCGGCTACCGAGGGAACTTTCCGAATTCGTAACTGCCTTAAATTCCTCCGTAATCACCGCGGGG